TCATCTGAATTATTGCTTTTTCACATAAGCACAAATCACGAGCACATTACAGATTTAGTCGCAGCAAACAGAGCAAACGATCACATGAACGGAAACAGACTGTATTGCACTTTCATTTGAGCAGAATATCTAATTAGAGATCACTAAACTCAAACTTCCATGTTTGCTGGTGTTTTTAACTCATGAGCACTTTTTTCCATAATGTACAGAGCAGGTGTGTGCATGGTTGCCAGGTTGGGAAGATTAAGTAAACCACTGGGCAGAATATGTATCGATTTATGAAAAAAGCTCAGGTTGGGGGGATTTTAACTCTTCGAATCTGGCAACCACAAAGCTTGTGGTGGCTTGTTACCGATGCAAGATAACACAAATGCCAATTAAGAATGAAATGTTTTCAGGATAAATAACCAGTGGGCAAATATTGCAGATGATTATGCTTAATAAACTGAGAGAGGCAGAAATCGTGATCACAATTAAAATAGGATTCATTGTGTGGCCCTAAGTCAAGCATGCATATTATATATATATATATATATATATATAAAATCAGGTTAAAAGGGACCAATCATTAAGAATCCAACTCTCATTCTGAGATCTCCCCCTAAAGGACCTTTAGCTTTCAACAATAGATAAAGAAATAGATACTTTTACCCCAAATTCTGCTGATACACCCATGAGGGGGCCTCCCTCATACTTTAGAAACACATCTGTTTATCTGTTTAAAGCGGGTGGAGGCAGAGCCGTCTGACATTTCCTCAAACGCAGGGTGGAGAAATGTACCAGTAAAGAGTCGGTTGAATGTGAATGTTCAACTTCAACTGATTTTAGGCCTTAAATGTGGCGTCAGAAATTTGGTGATAAATTGCTGGTAAATTTAGTGAGAAGTACTGACTGACATTACAGCAAGACAAAAATAAACATAATAAACAACCGATACGGGAGAATATAAACAAGCATTTGCATCCCCATTTGAATTCAGGAATGTTGATGAGTTTCCCAAGAAATGGGCACAGAAATAATTACACACACATGTAACATACAATCGTGTTACTAGTAGGGCTGCAGGATAAATCCTATTTTAATTGTGACTGCGATTTCTGCTTTTCTCGTTTTATTTAGCATAATCGTCTGTGATAATTGCCCACTGATTATTTATCCTAGAGGTACTTTATTTTAATTTGCCATTTGAATTATATTGCATAACAAGCTTTCATGGTTGGGGTTGCCAGATGTCAAAAGGTAAAATCCCACAATCAGAGCTTTTTCATAAATTGATACGTTTTCTGTCCAGAGGCTTACTTAATCTTCCCAACCTGGCACACACTCTCTCTGCATTACGGAAAAAGCACTGATGAGTTAAAAACACAGACAAACATGTAAGTTGGAGTTTAGCAATCGCTATTGAGATCTTCTGCTCAAATAAAAGTGTAATACAGTCAGTGTTTTCTTTATGCACTCATTTGTGCTGTTTGCTGCGAGCAGACATGCGAGTTGGTGTTTTCTTGATTTGTGGTTATGTGAAAGTACAATAACTCTGATGAAATGTGAAAAAAAAAACACGTAAAATGTTCTGAGCAAAATAATCATGATTAACAGTTTAACCATTATCATGCATCCGTAGTTACAAGTGACAAAATAAAGGTGTGTAATGCTTTTGTGGGTCAATTTTACATCTCAAAAGGTTTTCAGAAGTGAGCGAGTGATTGAATGCTGAATCGGATACCTTGGATCGACACTGAGAAGGTCTGACATTGTTTCGATGACACGTGAGCTGTTGTGCTATTTCACACCTGCCAATCACCTCAAGAGGCAGGCAAACCGACAATACGGGGGAAGGGCCGGAAACGAGCGAGGCCCAAATGGGGGAAGGGTAACTATGAAAGCACATATAAGAACAGTATCGATTCTCATAGAGGCGCCTGTTCTCAGACGCCTCGATCTGACTTCATTTGAATGGTGGGGTTGCATTGAGGGCAAAGGAGAATGTGGTTTCTGTATTACTGAGAGAAACTACAGGGTCACAACGTCCCTAGCTAAAGAGTGCCTCACATGAAACACCTGCAGGGAATGAGAAATTGATTTCAGAAACCCGAAACTCTGAATTCCAGCTAAATTATTCATATTATTTATTAATTTAACCAGTACTGAAATCTGTGTGGGCTGTGAGTCAGTCCAAAGTTTCAAATACACTGAATAAGATAGTATGAAAAACCTGCATGATAATGATAATTAACTGTTAATCATGGTTATTTTGTGCTCTCTCTCTCTCTCTCTCTCTCTCTCTATATATATATATATATATATATATATTTTTTTTTTTTCCCCATTTATGAGGAAAGCTCTGACTGGGGGATTTAAACTCTTGATATCTGGCAACCATGAAAGTGCATGGAGGCTCGTTACCAATGCAAGACAATGCAAATGCCAAAAGAAAATAATTTTCAGGATAAATAATCAGAGGACAAATTTTGCAGATGAATATGCTTAACAAATCAAGACAAGAGAAGAAAAAAATCATGATCACAATTAAAATATGATTTTTTTTCTAAAGGCAAGCATCACTATCGACTTATGATTTTTGGCAATAAAATTGCCTAAAAAAATCAAATGAGTGAAAAATCTAGACTTACATGTAAGGAGAAACTAACAAACACATTAAAAATGTAACAAAATAGTATCTTAACTGGGTCTACGGTTTTAACTAAGGCATTATTTCTGACAAACATATCAACGTGTGAAAGATCTTAATGATAACAGAAACCACAATTACAAACCATAACCTAAATTGTTTAATACACCACAACAAAGCAATTTATTGAACCCACGAGTCATGATTTAAGCATTCTCATGTCTAAAGTCACAGAAACAGCAAAAAACTGCACAAAGCACAACACAGATGACACAATTAACTTTAAATTTGAGATACTTGCTCTGACAGAAATAAAGAGAGCAAAAAGGGAGGAACTATCAGCTCGGTAGCAAGTTACATTTGGTATTGTAACAGCTCCAGACAGTCATTTTTCGCACACTGAACCC